CAACACCCTTACATGAGACAGAACTAAAAAGTGCACTCTTTTCACCATTACCTTTATAGTGGTAATAAAGTTATACATATTAAATGAGTGCATTTAAATGAGCCATGACAGTCAAATTTACCTTAGTATATATCTGACATATAATATTGCTGGGCAATCAACTTTCTTGCTACTTTGAATGTGAAATCTTCTTCTGCTGATATATTCATGTTCAGTATGCTGCAGATTGAAAGACAAATTATTTTTACATCACTACATTTCATTTCTAGGGCCAGGCAAAAATAGTAGTAATAATAAAAAATAGGTAGGCCTATGCCTACAATTTTATTTAGAAGTAAATTAAAGCAATAAGCCCCACAAAGCAGTGTTTTACAAAGAATTTAGAACAGCTAGGGGGCACTTAGCTGTTCTAAATTCACTGTAAAACAAGGCTACCTTACATACCTTATTGCTCTTATCCAAAGGTTAGTCCATAAAAATATTTATTTTCATCCAAAAATACTGATGTAATTAGGTCACAGGTGTGTTTATCGAGTAAATTACAACGGCTTCCAAAGCAGATCAACCAATCAGAATCAAGGACTTGAATTACCCGTTTTATAAGTATATACAACATAATACATTAAGCTCATGAAAATGTGTGCAGACTTTAGAACATACCAACTCATCTGTTTTTGGTGACTTTTTGTAGGTTTTTTTTATACTGGCAAGGATATATCACTCTTCTTTTCACAGAGAGAGTAATGTGTTTTGAATAGTCTTCCACTTTCCAGAGATATAGGGATGTAACTTTTTTTTTCTTTTTTTTTTTACTGTCATCCGACCTGTCACCAGGAAGTAAATAAAAGAAAACGGCATTTAATCAGAGATGGGAGTAAGGGTGTATTCACACCAGGAAAGTCCGATAGTTCACTTGCTTTGGTCCGGACCAAATACATTATTATTTTTTTTTTTTGGTACGGTTCGCTTTCACACTGCTCTTTTTGCAAGTGAACCAAAATTTGTAAACAAAACCACACGTGTGCTAAGGGTCGTCTATTCATTGGACAATAAGGATTCTCAAGTAGGGAAATCAGGAAGTGCAAAAAAGGCTCAGCATGGAGATATTTCGTACTGCAATATTTGTTATTTTACTAATTTTGTGTTATTCTGTACAAACGCAATATGAAGAAACTGCGCAGAAGACGGATAAGGTATAAAGTTTTCATTCATAGAGAGGGGCTGGTCACACATTCAAATAATGAGATTCTTATTGTATATACTGCTAACAAGTGCTGTCAATGTTAACGCTTGCGATTAAGTTTGTCCAGTTTAACGCACCATCATCCTTGTATTGTAACTATCGTTACATTATATGAACTGCAAAAGCTTTTTTTGCATCTATGCGCGATTAGACTAAAGAGAACGGTCTGTATGTGAATGTCCTGATGCACACACTCATTCATCATTCATTCCAGTGATGGACACACGACGCGCAGAAAGACGCGCAACAGTATCGTGTGGCCAGACAGCGCGCCGGAATGGAATTCTCTTTCGCACTTGAGCAACAATAACACAAACCATTATGCCAAAATCTCCGACTATACTACGGAAGCCTTTTAACTCAAAGGCACAGTGCTTTCTTGCAATTGGGTCGGTTCATGTTCACACCGTAAACGAACCGTACCAGAGTTCGTTTGGAACCGTACCGAGACCACCTCTTCAGCTGGGTCTCGGTTCGGTTGTTTGGTCCGCACCCGAGTTCGATTGCTGTATTCACACCTGCCCAAAAGGTCCGCACCAAGGGGGGAAACGAACTAGAGTTCGATTCAATCGAACCAAACAAGGCAGGTGTGAATACACCCTAAGTCACAGATGTTCAAGTCTCAAGTCCCTACCATCAAGCAGAGGTGGAGAGTCCAGGGGTCAGAAAGTAAAAGTCCTGCCATATTTTTATTCCCCCCATGAGCTCACACAGCAAAAACTCCAATGTTAAATGAACTTCCCTAGGAGTTCATTTGGCTCCAGACTCAAGAGTGTTAAAGTGTTAAAATGAGTGTTAAATTAACACTCAATAGTGGCAAAGTTAATGAGCTAATTAAGTGATTGATTGAGTTACGATTGACCATTAATGAAGACACCTGATGTTAAAAAGCAGAATCAACAAAGGAGAAAAATCACATTTTAGTCCCCATTATGGTGATTGGTATTTGCTTTAGTTGGGCTCTTGATCCTTAAACTATTTACATTAGATTCAGTTTGGCTGCTATATTTGAGTTATAATTGCCAGATGATCAAAGAGAAACGTTCATCAGGTAGTGTTGGTTATGTTTTAACATAATCATCATTTGACCTGAATCACTGAACTCATTTAGAGTCTAATCTCTGACCTAAATGTATATTGGTCATTACAGCATTAAAGTTATTCTACAGCATAAGATCCATATTATTCAATATAATCCAAATGATTTCTTAAAAGTTGGTCTAATAAAAATAAAAAACAAATATTTGTTTAAGGCACACAGACATCAAGATTCAGTGTATGAATCTCAACAATGGTGACAAAAGAATATTCACTTAGGAAAAGGAAATTACTAGGACAATTAATATCATAATTTATTCATACTGCAATGCATGATGGGAGCCATGAATGAGTTTTGATTGGTGGCACCCAGAATGCACTGCAACATGATTCATTATTGTCACATTGTTGAGAATCACAGGCTGATTCTTGATGTCTGTGTGTTTAAAATAAAATATTTTTTTCAAAGTCTTTTGATCAGAACAACTTTTAAGAAATATTTTGGATTAAATTGAAAATACTGAAAATGGTATACTGTAGAATCACAGGCTGATGTAATTATTAAGGTAAACCTGGCTCCTTAAATGGATTCAGTGATTCAGGTCAAATGATGACTATGTCAAAACATAACCAACACCACCTGATCAGCTTTTCATGTTGTTTATCTGGCAGTTATAACTCAATTATAGCAGCCAAACTAAATCAAACGTTAATAGTTTAAGGATCAAGAGCCCAACTAAAGCAAATAACGATCACCATAATGGTGACTAAAATTAGATTTTTCTCCTTTGTTGATTCTGCTTGTTAGCATCAGGTGTCTTCAATAACAGTCAATCATTACTCAATCAATCACTTAATTAGCTCATTAACTTTAACACTATAGAGTGTTAATTTAACACTCATTTTAACACTTTAACACTCTTGAGTCTGGGGCCAAATGAACTCTTAGGAAAGTTAATTTAAAACTGGAGTTTTTGCTGTGTGAGTTCATGGGTGGAATAAAAATATGGCAGGACTTTTACTTTCTGACCCCTGGACTTTCCACCTCTGCTTGATGGTAGGGACTTGAGACTTGAACATCTGTGACTTACTCCCATCTCTGCATTTAATACTTTTCATAGCACATTCCTTTTCTTTTACTTGCTCATATTTCATGCAAATAGGGTTTAATTATGAGAAAACTGTAAACAAAGATTTGTTTAATGAAAGTAGCTGTCTTAAGTGCATGTCTATAAAATGCAACAAATGTTCTTCATAGCAATACTTTCCACAAGGTCATAAATAAACAATTAAACAAATAAACATGCGGTTAATTTAGAAACTGATAAATTACCAAAAGATGTGCCTGTTGCCCGTTTGTGGTTTTGTATGACTGTTCATTAGTTAGGCCTACTTCTTAGTTATTTTTCTTGAACCTTAATAGATAATTATCTATAGCAGTAGTTCTTCAGGAAGTATAATTCATTAGTTATTGATTTACTGTTACTTAACACAATCATAAAATTATATTACTGATTAGTTAACACATCTTACTTAACAGTAGTGAAGAAGTAGTTAATGAAGAATTACCTATTAGTTCTTCAATAATTCTCTATTGGTTATGCAGTAAGTAAGATACAGTATTCTAAAGAGTTACCAATTAATTTTATATATCATTTACTTTCATTTTACTTTTAAAGAAAAATATTTTAAAAATGTAAAATATATATTTTTTATTTATCTTGTAGCGTGTAAGAGATTATCCACCACAAGGTTTCATCACAGGATAATGTTGTGAATCATAATTTTTCCAGTTGAAAAAGTTTCCCAGTTGATCACTTTGATTTATGCTACCACCATAACATGCAATCACAAAATGTTTTGTTTATCAAAGAGAAATATGAGAGAAAGTATGATGCTTTGCGAGATTTATTTAGTTGATATAAGTTGAACCTGAATCTTAAAATATTGTAATAACTGGTAGTTATCAAATAAAACGTGGGTCTAACCGGAGCTAAATTAAGCTATTCACACTTTTGCTAAGCTAAGTCCTAACATGAGATAAGAACACTCATGTCCCATACACCGCACGACCCAGAGTGTTTCTACAGGAGCATTGGTTAAATAAACCAACAGGAGGCAGTAACACTGGCTTTTCCTTCTTTTTATTAAGAACACCAAAAGAACTACTCAGGCAAGGCCCTATTGCCTTACACATCTCTCTCCATGACGGTGAGAGACACATTTTTACATTAGGCAGTAAATGAACCAAGAACATCTGATCTAACTTGAACACTAACAGACATAACTTTACTATCACAAAAACTTAAAGATCTTACTGTAATAACACATAAATCAACTCCCAATAAACAATTACCCCGCTGCTAGCGCTGACTGCCAGGTCATTACAATATAATAATAATAATAATAATTCAGCACTCTAATTTTACCTTGTGAAATCGTACAATCAGACAAATGCCATGATTCAATAAAGCAAGACAATCAATGTTCAATAACAACAAGAAACATGCAGTATACAGATTAACTGGTAAGCTGGTTAACAAATTTCAAAATAATGTTCAAATTAATAAACTGTGAAGAAAGCATCTTGATGTCCCCTGTTGGATGCTACTGTAGAGTTTAGGTAACTTGTTTTTTCAGAGCCTTTTCAGATATGTTTTTTCCAGATAAGTTTATTCCAAATATGTTTATCCCAGATATGTTTCATGGTAACAAAAAACTGATGTACATAATTATATTGTGTAAATTCAAAGCACATTGTTCAGCGCATAGTACTTTGTTTTGGTCTTGGATGGTTTCTTGAATAGAGCACAGTTTAGGTCACTTCTTGTTCCAGTGCTATTCAAAGTGTTCACAGTATCACACCAGAGACCTTTCTGCTCACCTCTTGTCTTGACAGCAGTGACCATAAACTTCTCATATGGAGGAATCAGCACCTCTCCCTCATAAGAAACCTTTGAGTATTTAGTCACATTAGCACCTTCACAAGTGTATATTTCAAAACAAGATACATTTCCAAATACTTTTGCTCTTGAACGATATTCAGAGGAGGATGTAAATGAGCCAAAACGAATTTCTGTAGAAACATTCCCATTAAATATAACATTTGTACCACGGAAAGTTTTAAAGCATGCATTTTGTGTTTTCTTTAGAATCTGTATCGCATCTGTTAACAAAAATTGAAGTGAATACCATTTGTATGTCATGTCTGTGTAGTTTTGTTTGCCATTACGAGTGTCATTGTTGAATTTAAGATATATTTTAGAAGTTGGGTGAGTGTACACAGAGATGGCAATTTTATGTGTTCTTTTTAATTTGCTGGCAATGTTCCAAAATGAAATATTCTTTTCACTAAGTTTCCAAGCATTTCTAAAATCATTTGAGTTATCAAGTTCCTTCTTCAGATATTTGGTCTTCACCAAACGCTCCATTTTTCCTGTGCAGCCCTTATATTGATCATCGACAGAATTCAGTGCCATATCCAATGGATATATCGGTCCTTCAACTTTAGCAGCGCTGTGATCCTGCAGCAACAGAAACCATAATGATCACATCATCAGTATTCATGTCTGTAATATTCATACTAGAACACAAGCTTACCTGTCCTAGAGCAGCTAAAATGAGAAGAAGAGCTTCAATGATTAGCAGCATCTTGATCCAGTCAAATCCCTCAGATGATCTAGTAGATCTAGTGAAGAACAGATGATGAAAGACCATCAGAAACACAACAACCTTTCACAAATACTGAATATATATATATATAAATAACTTCAATAGGAATGTGCATAGATTTGTACAATGACCTTGACTTACTTTACCCCCAAACTTACCTGAAAAAACTGTCTGGTTTAGTCAAATTATGAGTATTCTTTTTGTTGTTTTTCAGGAGCTCAATGTCAAGAGCAGAAGATCAGAAAAGTCAGTCACTCACAGTCAGACGACAACAACTCTTCAAACAAACATGAGGTGGTTGAAGTTGCTTTTTATATTGCTTATAATGTATGTGTGTGTGTGTGTGTGTCTTTTATGAGAGATAGCTGAGGTGTGACCTTGATGCATTTAGCTGAACTAAACTGTTGAGCTCATCATAAAGCAACACTTGTAAAGGTCTTTGTGGTTTCTCACTGGACAAAGGCAAAAAATAACTTTAACGCCTAAGTTGTACTTCGAGAAGTTCTGACTCGATGAAAGTGGCATTTGGAAGACATTCTGAATAAAATTAAATAAAAGAAATATAAAAGAAAATTATCCCGGGTCCATCCTCCAAATATTTTCCCCTGTCAATTCCTGACTCATCTCCACTTTCTCTCTCAAATAATATTTTAAAAAGTTGTATAAGATCATGAATTTCCTGCAAAACCCATGTAAACACTTGAAACCGAGGTCTTCAGCCCCTCTCCCGGGGACCCACTGAGTTCAGCTCCAACCCTATCAAACACATTGAACCAGGACAGTCATGAGCTTTCTTTCTTTCGACAGTCACGGGCCACTTTATTACTTCTCTAGTACCAGGTTGGACCCCTTTCTGCCTTCAGAACTTCCTTAAGTCTTTGTGGCGTAGATTCGACAAGGGCTGGAAACATTCCTCAGAGAATTTGATCTAAAGCATTGATACATGGCTGGATGGATTCATGCTGTGTATGCCCAATTCTGACCTTATACCATCTGAATGTCGAATGAAGACTCATATGACCAGGCAATTTTTTTTCCCCCATTTCTATTGTCCAATTTTCTGAATTGTAGACTCAGTTTCCTGTTCTTATCTGACCTGGTGTGCATGGTCTTCTGATGCATTTGCTTCAAAGTTGGACATGTGCGTTCAGTTTTTCGTTGTTTTTTTTAGTATTTTTGAGTGAGTTACGGTTGCCTTTCTATCAGCTGAACTAGTCTGGTCATTCTCTTCTGACTTCAACAAGGTCTTCTGGCATCAACAAGGTGTTTTCTCCAACAAAAACTGCAGCTCACTGGATATTTTCTCTTGTTCGGACCATTCTCTGTAAACCCTAGTGATGGTTGTGTGTGAATTTCCCAGTAGATCAGCAGTTTTTGAAATACTCAGACCAGCCCACATGGCACTAACAACCACGCCACATTAAAAGTCACTTAAATTATCTTTCTTCTCCATTCTAATGCCCAGTTTGAAATTCAGCAGATGATCTTGACCATGTCTACATGCATTGAGTTTCTGCCATGTGATTGGCTGATTAGCTATTTGCGTTAACGAGCAGTTGAACAGATCAAGTGGTTGAGTGTATACCGGTGAGTGTATACTATATGTGTGGACACTTGGAACTAATATCACTGAATCAAGACAGCTGCCAGGGCATCCCTTACAGAACAAAAATATATGGGAATATACTGCAAAATATAATGCGATATATCACATAATACATTTCCATATATGGGAAACTAGTGCTTATGTTTTTCAATATACTGCAATATATTCATTGATCATGGCTATATATTAATAAATATAAAATATTTATAAATTAAGACAGAAAATAGCATTACATGTAATATTCACAAAGTTTTTGTCGCAGAGTCAGCCACACGTCACAGCCCCAATCATCACTCAATCACCAGGACCCGCCCACTCGTTCACAATCACCAGAGTGCTGACTCGCTGCACCTGCACTCCCTCATCAACACACCCTTTATATGGCCCGTTCACCTGTGACTAGTGATGGCAAAATGAGGCTTCCTGAACCATAGATATCCATAATAAAGGTTAGATGTGATACGGTGGAGTCTCTATCGTCATCACCGGCGGCCATCTTGTCACAGGCAAGCTTTCTGGCGGGTTCTGTGGTGTAGAGGTCTTCTCGGGTCCTAAAAACTGTACCCGACCCGAATCGACCCGAATCACTACTTACCCGAACCCGACGTGCATAAATAATTTTTTTTAAAAGAAAAACCCGACCTGAGACAGACTCGATAAAATTAGACCCGAGTCCGACCCGACCTGACGCCATTTCCTTTAGAACCCGACTGGGCCCGAACGTAAACGGCATTTACATTGTGCACAGCCTGCAGCCCTGCGTTTCTCAAAAATGCACTTAACATAGACGCGCAAGTGTTGCGTGCTGAAGTGCTTAAATGTCAATCACACATCACTGTAACCCATTACGTCCTATAAAATTTGGCATAATGTTATTTACTGGACCATACGATGATTAGAACCACCATTCGTTTTCCCTGACATTTTTCGCAATTTCTGTTATCGCCTCCATGCTTTTCTGACAGTGTCGCGTATTTTTAAAATTGATTGACAGGCCTGGCTAAACGACAATTCAAATACTTGCATTTAGTCAAACATCCATCCACATGATGGCGCACTACTTCTTTTTGGCAAAGGGAGGGGTTGGTTTATGTGGAGCGAACAACTGAGTAAATAAATGCGGAGGCAACCGTGCTTTTAGCCCATGTGCACGTAGAAGCGCGGATTCGCTCTCTCACTTAGAAAAAGTGAGAGAACGGTGTCATAGAGTTGTTTTAAATACTGCAATTTTCTTAAATGCCCAACATAGTTTAAAATAATCCGGGTCTTCTCGGGTCCATTTGGAAAAGGCATATTTATTTTAAATTACCCGAGACCCAAGGCCACTAATACCGAACCCGACCCGTGTCCGAGACACACGTCGGAGTATTGGACCCGAACCAGCTCGGGTCTCGGGTCGGACCTCGGGTTTTCGGATCCAAGTGGACCCGTGAAGACCTCTACTGTGGTACCTGATCTAAGATGAGTGATCAGCACTAACACAAATACTCTTATCTCATTGAAATCTTGACGGATTTACAAATGGTTTGGTTTCTTACAAACGTTATTGACGTGACTACAATTCTGGATGATTATTTATTGATACACTTATTATTCATAAGTATGCAGTGTCATAACTACATCTCTGACGTTTATGACAAACCAAACCGTTTGAAAATCAGTATAAAATTGAGCAAGTTACGGTTATTTAAAAAGTACACCATTAAAACACAATGTTACGAGTGAGCGAGCTGCCTGTGACAAGATGGCCGCCAGGTGCAGATGTCAACCTCCATTGGCCAGCAGCGCGGACGAGACATCTAGCTCAGTGGTTCCCAAACCTGTCCTAGCGACCCACCAACACTGCACGTTTTCTTTGTCTCCCTAATCAAACACACCTGATTCAACTCATTAGCTCATTAACCCATGTGATAATGAGCTGATGAGTTATATATAAACTCTGTTTGTAGAGTTGTTTATTCCTCCTCTGCTGAGATCTTCACAGTTTTAATGTCTTTTTTTCTCTTCATTGGATTTCAGCTAAGGCTCTTTGCTCTTGGCTGACATGTGGCATTGCTATGCAGAGGTGTAAAGTCCAGGTTCAGAAAGAAAAAGTCCTCCTCAGTATTTTGTTCCAATCACCTGGATTTGCTAATTCAGACAGGAGATATAACTAATTAGTGAAATCAGATGACTGAGTTTATGGGTGGAATAAACATATGGCAGGACGTTTACTCTTTGGCCCCTGGATTACCCACCTCTGATTATATATTATTACATATATTATATTATGTCTTGTTATATTAATTAGATAACATTATTTGGATTGCTTTGGATTTTTGGATCTGGACTGGACTGCTTTTTGTTTTGGATTGCCCTTTTGGATTTCTTTGCTTTTTGCGACTCTTCCTTTTTCCTGGTAATGGAGCCAGCAAGAAAGAGGAGATCCTCCCTTGTTCTGGGCTCAACAGAAGCATCAGTATCCTCATTTAAACCAACTGGCACTGGCATTTGTATGTTCCCCTGTATCCTCTGTTCCTTTTGAAAGGATCTTTTCCAAGGCTGGAGCTCGAGGTTTTGTCCAAAAAGAGGGATCGTCTAAACCCCAACACAGTTGAAACAGTTTTTGTTTCTCAATAAAAATCTATTGTAGTCCTTCCTTCTCCCACCCCAAACTGCAGTTTTGCAGTTTGCTCCTCTATATCCCCAGTCCCGTAAGCATAACACTGCACTCAAACTAGTATCAGTTCACTGCACAAAACACACCAGAAACAATTCTTAACTTTTCCCACCCCAGACTATTCTGTGCAGTTTACTTTATTACTTTATTATTTATAACTCCCTCCAAGCACTGCACTCATCACTGTGTGTGTGACAGTTGTCTCTGCACAAGTAAATTCAGACAGAGAAAGATACATATTTTATTTTATATCCAGGCAATGGACAAATGTCTGCTCAGGTCATTGGTTCAGAATTAATTAATTTGTCTGTTACTTCTTTGTACAGTAGCTAGGTGTCACTAGTGAGCAATGCTGAATGAATCTTCCGGTAATGAACCTTTGGGTGAAGCAATGGGCTGTGAGGTCTCAGTGGTTCAGGACATAGAGATCCGTAAGCTAGGCAGTGGTTCCCAAACCTCTCCTGGCGACCCACCAACACTACACTGCAGGTTTTATTTGTCTTCCTAATCAAACACACCTGATTCACATTTTTCAGTGTTAATTTAACACTGGGGATTTTGCTGTGTGGCGACAAAGAGGAAAAACAGTGGACTGCAGCTTTAACTAACTTGTAAATATGAAACATTTACAATGTAAAAAAATAAAAGCTAAGACATGTATTGCATTATATATTGCTCTATGTGTATTTATGCTGCATGCGGGGGGTGGTGATGGCGCAGTGGATAAGACACATGCCTGTGAGAGACCTGGGTTCGAATCCACTGTGAGACACCAATGTGTCCCTGAGCAAGACACTTAACCCCTAGTTGCTCCAG